CACACACACACACACACACACACACACACACACACACACACACACACACACACACACACACACACACAAAAGGATTGTTAGCTGTTTTCAGCTAAACAAGAAGTTGCTATAGAGTCACTTCCTGAACCATCTGATGTGTCATCAACCAAAAAGAGAAGTTGATACACAATCACAGTTAACGTTAACGTACTGGTGTTTTAAAGAGTGGCCCTTCTTATTCAGAAGCAGTATGAATCAGATCTATTTCTCAGGGAGTGTCAGCGTGTGAGTGTTAGGGCTGGGGCTCTTCACAGAGCTGTGAAAGACTTTCTGATTGTCTGGGCAGCAAATCCAAACCCTAAATTGAGGCATCTGTTTGCCAGAGGTGGAGAGGAAACAGTCAGAGGTTTGTTGCAAGTTGGAACTAAACCACAAAACCCTCAGTTCAACAAGCTGTACCTCTGTTGCCATGAAGTAAAAACATCACAATTCAAACGCAACAACTGAAACTGAAGGTGCAACATCCTGGTCGCAACCACAAAAACTTTTCAAAATGCATCTGTGTCAAAAGGCCTGCAACTTCGATTTTACTGGTAGCGACACGATATAAGCCTGAACAAATCACACATGGTGGCATTATATCCCTTTCTAAGGACAAAAAGGTTGTAAGATCTAAGCAAATAAAACATTTCCCTACAAATCTACAAACACACAGAAACGCAATTTGTGTTCAAGCTTAATGTCAAATCATAATAATCAAAACTTAGCTTTTAAAATTGGACATGTGATAATAAAAAAGTTTAAAAACAAGTTGCAGGATCAACTTAAATGTCTCTGCTTTGAAAGATTCCTTACATTCATTCACTAAACACATTTCTGTACTTTAGGACAGGCTGTAACATTAGACTCACTGTCTAGTTTAAAATAATTACATACACTTCCACTATTTATAAAACAGTTCAGGTTAAACCCAATTCAAACATTTAACTTGCTAAATGTCTCTTGTCGCTGCAGTTGTAATAAACGTGTTAAATAATTTTCACAAAAAAGAAACTGAAATTAAAAGCAGCTCACCTTCATTTCATTCAAAGAAGAAAAACAGTTGATTGAATCAGAAAAAAAAGAGAAACAGCAATAAATAAGTAGATATTGTGGTAATAATTTATCATTTTATTTTTCTATTTGTTACACATTTAAAGGTTCCCTCAGAGCATCATGTGACCCGGCAGCTGTTAACGGCGACCGTAACAAAGCATTCATTCCACTTGAACTTTGCCACGTTTTGTCTGCCAAAATCACAAACTTTAACGTATTTTTACTAGAACTGTATCTGATAAACCAACACAAAATTTCCAAACAAGAATTCTTTCAACAAAGCCTTTCTTACATCTAACTGTCCTGCAGACAGATTCTGCCACCTGCACTGAAAAAAATAACTTGTAAGATTTACTTGAAAAAAATCTTCGTAACAATTTGTATTGATGTTTGTTAAGTCAATTTAAACGCTACAAATTCATGTAATATTTACTCATCATTATCTAGTAAAAGTTATTAAGAACATAGTTAAAGATTTGTGAATAAATCAGGTAAATTTTACTTAATTTGATCAAGTATATGTTACAAGATTTAATTGAGCAAATTAAGTAAAATTTACCTGATTTAGTCACAAATCTTAAACTATATTCTTAATAACTTTTACTAGATAATGATGAGTAAATATTACATGAATTTGTAGCATTTAAATTTACTTAATCAACATTAGTGCAAATTGTTACGAGGATTTTTTTACAAGTAAATCTTACAAGTTTGTTTTTCAGTGCAGCCTTTGTGTGCATGCACCCTCAGTTTTAGCCCAGAAGAGTAGAAGTTACTTAATATATTCATGTTTATGTGCTGTCCAGAAAAAACACTTAAATATTACTGGTAAAATAATATTAGCATTTACTTTTTTGTACAGTAATATTGATATATAATATAATGAGTATTGTTTATTTAGTAAATTATAGTAGTTTAGAAATTTTGATATTTTTTTTGTGAAATTTAAAATAAGAATTTAATAAATGTTACTACACCCAAAAGTTTGTTTTTCAGTGTGAGCTTCCTGGTTGCTTCTCAGATTAACGCCCTCCACTCACGGCCTGTCGGATTAGCTGGACGTCCATGTCTTGTTGGGTTCACAGTTGTGTCGTACTCTTTATATTTCAAGATGATGGACTGAACAGTGAGATGTTCAAAGCTTAGATGTTGGTTTATAAAGGAACCCTACAAAGGACTTTATGCCTGACCCATCTGATGTGTTCCTTGGTCTTCATGTTGCTGTTTGATCACTATAACAAACCTCACAGAGCAGCTGGATCTACACAGATAAGTCGCTCTAGATTTTAACTAAGGGGCAGTGTTGCGTAAAGTACCACAAAGTGATACTTGAGTAAAAGTACAAGTATCTCACCAAAAAATTACTTTGGTAAAAGTTAAAGTCTCCTTTAGGAATATTACTTGAGCAAAAGTCTTAAAATATCTGATATATTTTGTACTTATTAAAAGTAAAAGTATTGATTTAAAATGAGCAGTTAGATTTTCTGTAATGACATTCATTAGCAGGTGATCTCCCCAAAAAAATGCAGAAATGACTGTTGTATTAAATAATGTTTAATTTATGATAAATTTAGGATACACTAGTCCTGCTGTTTCAGTTTATATACATATATCAAGGCTGCACAAAGCTTTTCCCCAAAATGAAAATCTATCTGAGGGCTGCAGCCAAATGCAATAATATAATTCATGAAATACAAATACTTCTTAAGTACAGTACTTTTATTTTAATGATTATGTCCTGCTGGAGTGTGACATGATTTGTTTGTGTACAAATGAATACAGTATCAGAGTTTTACATATTTATACTTCTCATTCAACCACAGTTAAATTCACTCTATCTAGGAGGCACAATTTATATGGATAGTATTTATTTTTTCCAATAACAAGCTGGAATGAAAACAAGCAAAATGAAATAAAAGTAACGACTTTCTACTACTTGACTTTTTAAAAATGTAAGGAGTAGAAAGTACAGATAATTGTGTGAAAATGTAAGAAGTAGAAGTAAAAAGTAGGCTGAAAAATAGTTACTCAAGTAAAGTACAGATATCCAAAAATTCTAAAGTACAGTAACAAAGTATTTGTACTTAGTTACTTTACAACTCTGACTAAGGGTATCACAATAAAAGGGGCTGAACAGAAACACACATAGAGTTTTATTAGTAAAAACATTGGAAAACCATGTATAATTTTCCTTTCACTTCAGAAGAAACACTTTGTGTTGGTTTATAACATAAACCCCAGTAAAATATTTAAAAGTTTCTTGTTTTAAAGTGACAAAAAGTGGTAAAAGTCAAAGGGTGTGAATACTTTTCAGGGCGCTGTATATTTTTGTGCTCCTGGAGTTTACTTTAGAATAAATTTAAGAAATATTAATACTGTAAATGGAGATGCTCAGATGGGAAAGGATGCATATACAGTATTTATCAGTGTGCATTGCCAATGCAATGCACACTATTGTGATTTGTTTCTCATCCAAGTCATCTCCACTTTGGCACACTTCTCCTCCTGCATACTTTGTCCTAGAGCTGCCATTGTAATTTATATCTGTAAAGCTCCTGTGCCAAATGATGGCTATGCCTTTTGGTGCCTGTACAACTTATAGTTTTTGAAATATTAATGTTTAATAATTTATAATTAGAGTCAATGGAGCCTTGTATTTGTCCAATACTGCCCCTGCTATATCTACTCAGTACTGCACCATAGTTTAATAATATTTAATCTCAATAGTTCAGTGTTTGCAATACTAATATGATTGTGTTTTTGATGTTTTACTATAATATTGTCCTAATATTGCTTTATTGTTGTAATATTTTTCAAATTAGTGACAACCATTACATTGGCAATGCGGCCACTTTCTGCACACACACAAACCAAACCCTGGCCTCGTCCTCTACCACAGCTCCAATGGTCTCATGGTTAGTGCCGTGGGCTTTCATGTGGGAGATTACGGTTTGAAATCCAGCAGCAGCAACTTTAACAGAAAATCTCTACAAACTTCATTTTGTCACACAATTACCCTTATTACAAACACCTGCTGATGTGACAGGCACAAGCTGGTATAGAAAACACCTTTGAACTTGGTCACATTTTATTCTGCAAGTCCACTGTTGCAGGCAAAGCCATGCTGCAATGACATGCTACAAGGCAATGCACACTTGTTTTTACATCGTAAAAATCCATGTCTAGTTAAAACTGTTTTCCCATCCTGCAGTCTGTTGGGATTTTTACTGTTTCAATAAACAGAAAATCAGCAAAAAGTCTTGTTTAGAGTTTGATCTCATTCTTATCCCGTTCTACAAGTTTGGCTCCAAGTCCAGAGAGCAGAACAGCTCCTCGTCTCAGATAAGATTTGAATAATAATCAGATGTGAGCCTGAGTTCTGCTGCAGCAGCTGATGGAGCAGCTGAAGCACGCGCTGCTGACCCATGATGCCTTGCGGGCGTGGGAGCTGTGTGGGTTAAAGGCTAGGGTTTTACAGGGCTCTTTTAATTGGTTGTGACAACAGGAAATGACATCAGCTGCGTGCCCAGGAGGCTGAGAGCAGCAGGACGATCTGTGAGAACTGAGATCTGCACATGAACCAGCAGCAGCTAGCCAGACCAGGGCCCTGCAGTATCAGGGTTATGTGTCGCTCAGTGTTTGGTGGCTCCTCTGTGAGGATAATCACCTCTTAGTCCTGCCTTCAGATTTATTCTACAACTTTTAATTTCCTGTAAATTTTGAAAAAAAAAATCAAGTTTGGGAGCTAAAAGCTGAAATAAGAGGGTGACAGGAAGTGTGCCAGTGGGTTACATATGGATGACACCAGGGTTTCTACAGTTTAAGGAAAGTTCAATTTGAGACTTTTTAAGACTTTTTAATGCCAAGTGAAATTAAATTTAAGACCAATTTCATAATAAACACAAATGACAAAAAAATAAAAACAGGCAGAAACTCACAAATCAAAGTATTTTTGGTTGAAGTATTCAAATATTGCTAATAGATCAAATGCTTTTATCCATTTAACTATAGCAGAAACATTCTTAGCAGTCAGAGGATTTCCAGAAATTAAATTACCGTATTTATTCGTGTATAATACGATCTCATGTATAATACGACCTCATGTATAATATGATCTCATGTATAATACGATCTCATGTATAATACGACCTCCCTTTTTTGAGCTTAAAAACCATGAAAAATTTAATCCTCAAACTACCTCCCATTTCATACAGACTTCAAGATTTTTCAGCCTTTGCAGTCTTTATACATATCAGTAAAATGATCATTGGACTGTTCATTTTATTTTAACAACATATGTACTAAAAGGTATTTTGACAACAAATATACAGTATATCAGCTGTAGCAGCATCATAAGAATTCTGGCATTTTACACATAGTCCACCAGGAGGCGCCAACACAAAAGTCAGAGACTTCACATGAGATTTGGGCCATCTCGTGGGGGAAAAGCAGATTACTTCCTACTCACGAGCGCCCCCTCTGGTGGGGAAACGTTTTTTCAGGGATACAAACTTTTTCAGAACGGCAGCCATTACAGGCGAACATGTTTTTGTTGTTGTTCACATACACTAATGTCATTAGTTTGTTGTCATTACTAAGGTACAGGACTGCTTTAGCCCCCACTTTTTTCCACATCATGTCACCTGCCTGGATCTGTTATTATCTCGCTCTGAAGCACAGAGGAGTGTCTGTGGTAAGCTCGCTTCAACTGCTTTTTACAACGTGGCCTCATTTCCGGACTGAGGCATTTTGTGAATGAAGCCGATATTTCAGTTAAAATACATGAGTAAAAATATTTATCCGAGTATAGTACTACCCCCCAACTTTATGGATGATTTTATGGATTTAATTTTACGTATTATACTTGAATAAACATGGTAAGTTTAAAACAAACAACCCAAAATTTGGAATTTTAGGACCCTCACTGGGGTCTTAACCCCAGTTTTCTGTAGTTGAAACCTTAAAGTGCCTGTGACATCAAAGTTTTTTTTTTAAGAAATATGAATGCATTTTTGTAAAGACAACATTATTAACATATTGCAAAACAAATTTCAGGTTGCTCAGATGGACAGCTGTTGAGAGAATTGCATGTGAAATAACAGGAAGTGATGTCAAAGGGGAATGTCTGAATGTTTAAAAAAAATAAATGTTACCAATTATTTTAATATTTAAAATGAATTACAGTCATCCTATGTACAATGTGTTCACATTTTGAAGACTTCAGAAAGACTGATTTAAGACATTTTAAGGCCAATTAAGGCCTTATTTTTGGATTGAAGAATTCAATGACTTTTAAGACTCTTTAAGGATCTGCAGGAACCCTGGAGGCAAAACGAGTCACTGTGATTGGTTGTTGCTGCTTTGGGGTGAGACGACACCTACCTTCTCCACATCGGCCTTAGTCACGTTAATGTCAGCGTCCATCTTCTCAAAGTACTGCTGCGCTCTGTCCGCCTCTTTACAGTCCCTCTCAAACCGCCGTTTACTCTGAAATCACAAGAAATCATGTTTAAGATCCTAACAGATCCAAAAATAAATAAATAAAACTGTCGGATCCATTTCTGCAGGGAGAAGCAGCAGCACGGTTACATAACATGACCTTTACCGTGGCCCACATGTGTACGTCACGTTTACGGCCCAGTTCATGTCAGTGACACAGCAAAGGGCTCTGCTAACGTCTGCAGAATAAACAAATATTCATGGAAGGAAAACCAGGCATTCATGGGAGCGTGGAGGAGAACAATCAGTGTTTGTGGGTCCAGTGTGAGCTCTGAAGCCAGCCTCTCTGCCTCCAACACAATGCTAACATTGAGGCCGCGGCCGTTCTTTCTCTCCCTCCTTAAAGAGGCACAGATAAGAAGGGCTCTGTGAAATTTCTGCTCAGGCTCCGTCACTATGAGAAGTAAGTCAGCACGTTCTGGTGCTGATTTTATCGTTTCTCAACATGAAATACACAGTAACACGTAGTCTGATTAAAGCATATTCCAAAAATACTTTTTTTTATATTTTAACCCTCCTGTTATGTTCGTTTATGATAAGGTTCCTTCATTTTGACCTGGGAAATGTTTAATTCTGCTGTAGTGTCAGAAACAAAAAGAAATCCCCCAAAAACCTTTTGGTATTTGATTATTACCTCCATTACTGATCATTTCAATCAATATTTGTGCATTGATGTTTTTTTTTTTGTCTCACAGATCAATGAAAAAACCTACACACAAAACAATGATTATACATGATTGTTTTATTTTTTTGTTCTATGTAATATGCAGATGCAGGGTGGGGGGG